TACTCAAGCTGCTTAGGATTCTGCAAAAGAGTATATAAATAGAATCGCTGATCAAGAATCTTATGACCTTCCTTGGTCGGAAAAAATAAAATTCGATCAACAGCCATGCCGCAAAGGCGTTGGGCACGGCATGCGTTATAATCTTTCTCATCACCACAAGAGCCTAGTCGACAAATTTTTTTTTTAGAAAGACAGGTATTGGCTGTTAATTTTCACTTTCGAACTGGTTTTTTAGGAATATCAGTTTCATTTTCTTTGATGACAATTTGATCATCCATTTTAAATTAAAATGTAATATATTTCTAAATAAATGTTATTTATATACATATTATGCAATTAGATTTTAGCGCAAATAAAAATATATAAATGCAATTCTCTATTTTATTAGTTAAAAATAGCTTGCTCAATGCCAAAAATACCCCCTAAAAAAAGATATTTAAACCATTTTAGCAAAACGTCTTTTCTGGCACTTTAAATGCTGGGAAACGAAATACCAAAGAAGAATTAGAACACGATCATGATGTTCAAGAATTTGAAAACCTACCATTTAAAATTAAAATCGAAACGATTCAAGGAAAACATAACATCGCAAGATTCTTTTTTTTAAACAAACTAAACGAAAAAATTAATATTCCCAAAGGTATCATCTATATGGACGTCATATACACAAAAAAAGAACCACAATATCTGATGCCCAATACGCAATATTATCTGATCGAATATCTGATGAAATATATAATCTATTACGACCCTATAAAAAAGAGAAACAATACAAAAACAAAAATCTACTCTATCAATTCTCAAAAAAAATACATCATTCATAATTTTAAGAAAACTAGCAGAACATTAGAAAACTAAAAAAGATTAGATAACGCGCGCGATTAATATTGATTGTGATTCCATCGACGAAATAATATCACACAAAAATAATGTATTGTTTTTTCTTTTACATTTTTCTGATATAATTAAATATTTTATGTTAAAATAAAAAATTGATTTGTAATTATATAAATATCTGCAATTATCTTTTCACTTTGATCGTTCCATTTTCCTACTTTTTTAAAAAATAAATTACATAATTTACACACGTTTACGTAAAATTTTGATAACCAAAATATTAGTTATTAAAACTTTATACTATTATTGTATTTGGAAAAATTACATAACATCGGAATTCGGAGATTCCAAATTAATTTGTTTAAAAGGAATTGACCCAGTTCATGGAATTGCCAAAATTTACTTGAAATTTTTAAATTAAATATAAAATGCCTTCCTTCTTCCATAAAATCACTTTATCTTTCTTTTCTTTAAGAAAAAAATTAAACGACGAAAATTTTGAAATAATGACAGAAACCTTGGTCAGTCCGGATGTCCCTGGATACTCTTACTTAAACTTAATTAAAGAAGAGTATCATGCAGAATTAGCCTATATCTGCAAAAGAAACCCAACCGTTAAAAGAGTTGTGGAAATAATCGTACAAAACCCGGATCCCATTGGTAAATTATACCAGGGAAAAATCAAACCAACAAGGTTTGATAATGAAAAATTTTTTAAAATTGAAAGAGAAAGTGAAGGAGAATGGGATGATATAAGCACCCCAGAATGGTTTAAATGTAGAGAATTTATGTACCATATCTCAAAACATTATAGAGATTATACATTTATATAATTTTGTATTTATTTGTATATATTTTAAACATTAATAATAAAAATATTTTTTCGTATTTTATTTTAAATTTTTATATAAATAACATGTATCAATCCAATTTTAATAAATAAAATCAACTCAAAAAAAAAATAATAATAATAAATAGTCTACTTCAATGTCTACCTTTTATTTTATGTAAATATTAAATTTTTTTTCTTGTTTTTGATAAATAAATTTCATTCCTATATTATTTTTTTTTAGTGAAATGATGATTAAGTTAACAACAATTCAAGGCTCAAAAAATTCTGCTCGTTTATTTTTTATTAATGAAGAAAACAATGAAAAAGAATCTCCAATTCCTTCTGAGATTAAGGTTGTTGATAATACTATTTTTTCAACACCTTTTACCGTTCCTCCTTTCCTCGGAACAAATTCATTTTTAATTGATCATTTACGTAGATATCAAGTTTATTATAATAATCAATGTATTTATCATATCTATTCTGAAAAAAAATTTGTTATTCATAATGATCATAATCCTTTGCAATATTTTTAATAACCCTTAAATTTTAAACTCAATTAAAATAAAATAAATTTTATTTATAAAATTAAGATTGTAATAATTGTTAAGTTCCGAACTCTATTAATTTTAAATATCCCCTGTGTGGAAAAATATTTTTCCAAAATAAATATTTGATAAATTGTCATTATAAAGAATTAAATAAAAGTAATACAGAATAATTGATTTTATTAAATAAGTTATTACATGACTAGTATATTATATTTTTTTCTGCTACTTTTGAGTTTCAATACCAATAATCTTTTTTGAATAATAAATTTAAATATAAAAATAATTATTCTTGCTTTATACGTAATTTTTCAATATCATCATGAATACCAGTTAATAATACAGAAAAAGCTATTCTATAATCACCATCAATCCATGGTTCAACTACAATGGCCAATAATTACTAAATATTTACATTCTCCCTATTGAGCCGGCGGCTTTCTTCATTTTGCTTCTCTATAATTTCTCGCCATGTTAAAACTGATCGATCTTGACTACTAGCATACTTATCAGTCATTTCTATAACTTCTACAGGTCTTTGAACAAAATAATTATCATCAAGCATCATACAAGAATTTGATATATTTACATCATCGCGATTCGAATCGTTTATAAATTGTTCGATTCGAGATTTCAATCGCTTATTAAATTTTCTTTTTGCTGCAGTAGTGCTAGATTCGGCCATCGACTGTTAATGACTGTAATCGGAATCATCATCAAAATATGATTCAGTTTCAGATTCGGATATATGTTCTTGAGATCTTTTTCTTAGTATAGTTGAAGATAAAACTAATTGTGATTGTTGTAAAAGCTCCTGCTTATAACGAGAAAGTTTATGGCATTTGGGATAATCACGTAGATAGTTTTTCTTGAATTCGAGAAAGCGACGACGCCAATAAACCTGATCTGACTTAATAATTACTTCCCCATCCTGATCTTTATTAAGCTCTTGAATAATGGTTCTCAACTCTTCACATGTATACTCGCCCTCATCATATTTAACGTCCCAAAGCATGTTGCGAAAATTTTCCTCTGAGCCCTTGTGAAATATGAGCTCGGTGGTGCGCTGATCTAATTCATCATGCCACATACCCTTAAACTCGATAATATAATCCAAACGTCGATAGAACTGCCCCCAATCACGTTGAGTTGATGTCTCATCGTTCATATTGACTCGACGAAAATTGAATGCTTCTTCCGGTGGCTTGTGAGATGTCATAAAGACATACTTAGCAAGAAAAGGTACAAAAGACTTGCCTTTTTGTTCAACATTCTCTGGAGTATCGTTCAAATATTTAACAACATC